CATTTTCCAAAGGAAAATGATCAAACACTCATTTGTAATATCTTAAAACTCAGAATGATACACTTCTCCACTAATACTTGGTGTTTTTATCTTATTTGCTTAAGCTTATGTAATTCTGAGTTGAAAAAAATTAACAGAGTGCAGAAGACTTTCCAATACCATATTCTGAATTCTCTCTGGAGTGTGGACTCTGTAAGAGGTAGATTGGACTGGACCTCTGACCGCATCCTAATTTATCTCTTCGATGATACATAATAGATCAAATGGACATACACAGCTTTGCACAGGTCAAGGAGAAGAAGTCTAAGGGTCTAAGGGCCCTTTCATATTTATTATTGAATATTTTGACAAAAATAAAGAATAAAAGATACATCATCCATAACATGCTAATATTTTCTTTTTAGTTCTCTTATATACAAACATTTGATTTTCATATGATTGCAATCGTAACCTGAATACAATTTTATATTCTGCCACTTTGAATTAATACTTTATCTGAAACACTTTCTTACGTTGTTTAAATTATTCCTTCATTATATGTTCTAGTTCCCTCCAATTAGTTTGCTATTTTAAAGAAGTCTGTAGAAAATATTACCAGTTTACCTTTCAGGTGAAATTGGTTAGAATTACTGAGTAAAAAATTTTCATTTTTTGGCTTTTTATTTATTTTTCATCTTCCCAAAAATCTCTCTGTAATTTGTAGCAGAGGAATTCACCCTTCTTAGAAACCACAAGAGTGGTTTGACTTAGCAGGAGCAAAAACCTGATGTACATGAACAACTACAGAATTTGTCATAATGTAGAGCTAAGTTCCTAGCCTTGGGAAAGCTTAAAATTTCTTTGCTTTTATTTGTAATAACCAAATTTGGGAAAATCCAAAATTTTTGACAGCAGGTGATGGGTGAAAACATTGTAGTATGTTGATGCAATGGACTACTGCTTAGCAATTGAAATGAGGGAATTATTGAGGTGGACATTTGATAGAGTGATTAAGATTCTACTTGGGATGCTTGTATCCCATTTCTGAAACTCGGGGATCAGCTCTCAGCTTTGCTTCCAACACCAGCGTCCTGCTATTGCGTACCCAGTGAGTCAGCGGGTGAAGGTTTAAGTACTGAGGTCCCTGCCACCCATGGGGGAAACTTGGATTGACTTGGGCTTTGTGGTCATTCATGGAGTGAAGCAGTGGATGGGAAATCTGAATGCTTTTTTCTATGCCTTTCAAATAAATAATTTATGTACACATGCTAATATGAACAAATTGAGAATTAATTATCCGGAATAAAAGACGTCAGAGGGGAAAAAAGAGTACATATTGTATGATTCCATTGTATAAAGCTGTATAAAATGCTAACTAATTATAAAAACTGAAAGCTGATCAGTAGTAGGGAACATGCGGTGGGAGTGAAGACCAGGGAGGGCCAAGTACAAAGGAGAGCATGAACATTTTGGGGGTTAGCGAATGTGCTTGCTACTTTAATTGTTATTGTGGTTTCCTGGGTGTGTATAAATATTTATGTGTATCAATACTTAGTAGATTATGCAATATAAATATACAGTTTATGGCATGTCAATTTGCAATTAAACAATACCGTTTCTTGCTCAATACTTGTGATTCATTTTAAGATCAAAAGATAAATGGGCTGAATTGCTACCATTAGTTCATTGTTATTATGTAGTGTGGTGAGTTCAAGGGGGCATCATTCAACTGTGCTATAGAATAATGAACAGCGCAATTCATGCCCCTTATTTTGTGTGCTCAAGCATGCATGTTCAAGTTCTAACTTCAATACTTGTGCTTGTGATCCTATTTGGAAATAAGGATTTCTCAGTCTGCTGCATTCTGGAAGAACATAGACGTACAGAGAGAGCACAATGAGTGCATGGTGGCAGAGTCTGGACTGATGTGGCTACAAGTCAAGGAATGCGAGGATTGCTGGGCCCCTTAGGAGCCAGGAGGGGGCAGGGAAGGACTCTTCTCCGGAGCCTTCAGAGGGCACGTGGCCCTGTTCACATGCTGATGTTTGAACTGGCTTTCAGAACTGTGAAAGAATTGTTTGTTGTTTTAAGCTATAGAAGTGGCAATTTGCTATGGCAACCGTTGGAAACTAAGAAAGCCATATGCTTTTGTTAGTTAGTGTAGTCTTTTTGAAAAATCTGTCTGTAATACCAAGGGAAAATAGAAAGTATTTGACCCATATGTCCGCTTTTAGGCCCTGTGATCAATCTTTGTATGTCAAACAATGGCTTCTCTTTGTTCTTTCCTTGTTCCTTTTTTGTTCAAGAAATTATTTATTTATTTGAGTAGCAGAGCAAAAAAGAGAGGAAGAGTGTGAAAGCAGGAGAGAGAGAGAGCTTTCAATCACTGATTCACTTCCTCAAATGACTGCCACAGCCAGATCCCAGCCAGGCCAAAGCCACCAAGAACTCTGTCCTGACATCCTACGTTAGTGTCTGGATGTGAATCACTTGAGCCATCATCTGTTGCCTTAGCAGGTGCATTAGCAGGAAACTTGGTTGGGAGCAGCGTGTCTGGTACTCAAAACAACACTCTATGATGAGATGTCAGCATCAGAAGTGGTTGAACCTAGTGGACCACAATACTTCCCACTGGTCTGTATCTGCTGTCCTGAACCAAGTGTGCTTCCATCATGTCCATGGAACCAGGGATCCTTGGGCCCTTGCCAGGGATCTGTGAGGTCCAACTGATCTCATTTTTTTCTTTATGACTGCACTGACATTTGCCATGAAAGTGCAGAAGCAACTTGTGACACCTTTGACGAATCCAGGCAGTACACCAACTGCGCTAGTGGACTTTTTCATTCTTGGTCTCTGAGACAGAAAACAAAGTGTCACTAAAAATGGCCTTGATGAAGCAGCAATATGATAAATATTATTAAATCTCATGTACTGAGTCCATGACTGTCTGTCTGTCTATCTATCTATCATTTTATTACAAGGCAGAGACAGAAAGATGGAGTCAGAGATCTGTGAACCCATCCTCTGGTTCATCCCCCAAAGCCTATGGTGGCCCTGGGCAAGCTGGGGCTGAAACCAGGAGCTGGTAAGGAAATTGGGATCTCCCACAGTCCGTGAGCCAGGGTCCACATGAGCAGGGAGTTGGAGTTAGAAGCCTGGTACTCTGATATGGAACATGAGCATCTTAACCTGTACTTTAGCTGATGAGTGCAATACCAGGCCAGTACAGGTCTTTCAAAAACCCTGCACGACCTCATGGGGGGGTACAACTAAAATACTTCTGTAACCTACAAATATAGAAAACAAAACAAACAAAAAGCCACCTTAAAAAACACTGTGTGATAGATTTCTGGGCTGAACAAACAGACTCTGTCCTGATTACCATTTTTGTTTGACAAACTTGTTGTTTAAATTGTTCCGATTTGGAGTTTTTGACAGAGATGCACCTGCGTGCTCAGAAATTCTCCTTTGGAGGAACCCATCTTAATGCTTCTGTTTACTGATAACAACATTTCCTGCAAAGGCTTAAACATAAGTAAAGCCCTGGGAGCCACAGGGATTTGCATAAGGACACACAGCATAAAGCAGTGGGGTTGATTTAGAAACTCAGCCTCTTCCTCCATCCTTCTATCCTTCCCAATCCACTAAGTGAGACAGGTGGCTTTGCAAATTGCACACATGCCCTCTGTGGTACAGTAAGTCAATGCTGCCAATGAAATAAATGCCAGGTGAAAAAACTGACACGTCAGGTATTACACAGCCACTTAATTTTTATTTTGCAATTTTCTCAATCCGAGCAACCAAGTAGAATACATAAAGAGGACACTAAAATGTGCTGTGATAAAATTTACCTCACCAAGAATATAGGTGTCTTTTCTTGTTTTTGCTTCCAACTCAGCTTTTGTGTTTTTCTCACTCTTCTCTTTCCTGTAAGATTCATCTCTTTATTTTCAAAATCAGAATTACCAGATGGTCACTATGGCTAGCCCTGGGCCAGGCTGAAGAGAGGAACCAGGAGCTTCATTTGGGTCTCCAACAGGTAGCAGAGAACTAGCCACTTGGGTCATCTTCTATTGCTCTTTCCCAGGCAATTAGCAGGGAGTTGGATTGGAAGTGGAGCAGCTGGGATACCAACCAGTATGAATGTGGGATGTCAACACTGCAGTCAGTGCGTTTACTGGCTGTGCCGCAACACTGGGCCTGTTTTGTTTTTTCTCCCGCATTAACTGTTTTCTGGGTCCAGCATTTGCTTCGACAAAAGCTTGTGAATGGAGACATGATGCATAGCTTCTATGATTAAGGAATTCAGAATCCTTTCCAGCCTGAGGGCAGAAAGAAACACGGAGAGAAAAACATCTCTAACATTTCCATGTACAGATGAATACCCAAGATAAATAGTAACTGACATTTCTGCAAACTTCCCTGCTGTTTTATAGACTGCATCTCCCCCATTTGTGAGTCTACAGCATATTTGGGCAACATCATGGGTTTCCTCTCTTGATGAGTCTTCTCAGCATGGGTTGGGTCAGTGTTTGTAGCTCAGCCGTCTGGTGCCAATGTGGAGAGCTCCTCTGATTTGATTCCACCCCAAGGCACTGAAGGATTTTCAAGATTTTTCCTCTTAATATTTGCCTTTACTTGATAATCCCAGAGCATGCTGGGAAATCTCAGCAAGAGGAAAAATTTAGTAACCATGGGGAGGCCTGCTTACAGAGCTGTGGGTAAGTATGAAGGCGGGTGAGGGTGAGTACTAATGTCTCTTGAATGTTTTGCTTTGCACAAGGCTTTCCTTCAGCAAAATGTGCGCTGGCTTGCAAGGACAGAGAGCTTTTTGAAAACTCAGCCATCCTCAGAAACAGAACTGCATGATTATTTCCCAAGAGGAAAGCCACTGAGTCGGGAAGGCATGTGGAAGCATATGGTTTAGATGCAAGTTAGAATTTCAAAGGCAGGAGTTGGCAAAGGGTTGGATGAGGTTTCTGCCTCACGTTTTGATCATCGCTTTTCTTTCCCGTTAGCAGAGTGCTGACCTTACCCTTGGCATATGCAGGATGGAAGACATGCTGCCTGCCTTACATCAACATTGGAGAGAGTGCCCAGTTCTGACACAGGCTTCATAGCCAAGAAGGTGACGAAATTCAAAAGGCTTGAGGGTTTTCTTTGTTCAAACTGGCTTCTTCAGGGCTTTCTTTCTGTTTTTCCTTCTGTTTGTTTCTATGTGGTCACTAGGACTCTCTGTCCTTGAGGTACATAATGATAGGCTAGACTCTGGTTTTGCCTGGGTGCACTGGTTGTGAACTGGGCTGGATGAGGATGGACATTTTGTATGGTGCCTTTGGGGAGGGCAGGTTTTGCTTACCGGGTGACAAGGCTGCCAGGGAGTCTGTTTCTAGAACTGGATTTTCTGATAACATAAGTGAGACCACTGGCAGTGGCTCATTGGAGTTAGAAGCAGCAGTCCAGGCACATGTGATCTGTGAGCAGCATGGCCCCTGGAAGAAAGCTTACTGAATGACCTTGGACCTGAAGGAGGATGCAAAAGGCTTGAATGTAATTGTTGCGATTTAGATTATGCTCATTTGCAGTTGGAGAAATCTGTGGATTGGAGAGGGTCAGTGGTTTATTCAGCCCACTGGTTCTTCTTGCCACATATCTTTATTTTGATTAGAATGATTTTTTTTTTCCTTTCAGGGCAAAAATGAAATTTCAACCTCTATTCAGTTGGACAGTTTAGAGGTCCTGCCTGCTATTTTCCTTTTCCTCTGCAGGGACTTTGGTAAAGCATGATAATGCCAGCTGATTTTAGATTTACGGGACTGTTAAGAGATGTAGGCATATGTCTGTGCATGAATGCATATACACAACTATGAAATCGAATGATGTCCTATTTTGTCAAAATTGATATAGAAGTAACAGCATAATTGCTAGGTTATATGTTCTGAAACTTTAGTTCACGGCTTCTTTGGGGGTCCATGTGACATCATATTTACTTTGTGCCTTAAGTGATTTCACTGGGCTCATCAATGAGAAAAGCTTATAGCTGTTCTTGCAAAACAGTAACTCTCCATGTTGATATAACATCTTGATTTGTTCACATGCAGATGAAAGTTAAACTACATTTCTTCTATAATTTTAAGGCAACTAAAAACCTCTATCACAACAAAATGGAAATGTTTTCTTTTCATGATTTTAAATCCTCATGATGCCTATACAAACTGCTTTAAAGAAAAAAAAATGCAGAAGAATTATATCTGCCTTTCATTTAATGAAGCTGTTTGTGGCAGACGTGGTAGACTGGATTTGTTTGACATCTGTGCCAGCCTCATTCTCATCTGCTGTTGTGTTTTGCGTTTGCCAGGCATCCTTGCTGTGAACATGATCTGGACATGATTTAAGGTCTACCAACCAGATGCGAAAGCAAGCAGCAATAGTTAGAAGGCAGCAGCCACTCTTCAGAGGCTAGGAGAAGCAGAGGGGCTCTAACGCAAAAAGCTCTCAATAACTTTCCAATTCCCAGATTACAGTTGATACAGAGAAGGTGTGGCATTCCTGAAGCATTTTGCCTATTCCCCGGTGAAACAGTCAGGAATTGCTAAAAAAAAAAAAAAAAAGCAGAATGAACAGGACCTCCTCTCACACTCTTTCAGTCTCTCTTCACACACACACACACACACACACACACACACACACACACACACGTGCACACACATACGCTTACACCGGTACGACCACAAATATGAGTGATTCTTTACAAAGTGCATAGAAAGCATGTATTGTTAAAAATCCTATGCATAAACTTTCAAAATATTTTTGCATCCAAATAAACTTTTAGTTTAATTTCAATTCCCATGAACTTAAAAAAACCCTGTGTGGAGTGTGTGTGTGTGTGTGTGTGTGTGTGTGTGTGTGTGTGTGTGGAATTGTTGGATATACGTTGTCTCATATGTAAGGGATGTTGGCAAGTCCACCTTTTCAAAGGCAGTTGGGTAGGCTGAAAACAAGGGCCAGAAGTTGCAGTTGCAGTCTTGAATCTGCAACCTGAGGGCAGGCTGTCAGGCTGGACTGAAGCAGCAAGCCTTTCCCTGAAAACCTCAGGCTTGGCTCGTGCTGCCTTCATCTGACTGGACTGGATTCGCAACAGATTCATTTCCATTGGTTTAACTTTTTCAGAACACATTTCCTGTATGTCATATATTCAGTTGTAAGAATATAAAGACACTTTCCACTATTTACTCTCTTCCTCTCCTCCCTCTTTCTCCTCCTCCTTTTCTTGTTTTTCTTCTATATTTTTGCAACAACATGCTTTCAATTTTCTTTATAATTGTAAGCTTAGTCTTTCATTTTTAACAGAATTGCAATCAACCTCCCCCTCCAAAACCTTTTTAATGGAACTTTCTATGTATATTTTAAAATTCATACAGAAGAGAAACATAGTAAAATCAGCTTAACTGTTCCTGAAGAAGCCCTTTGTGGTGGAAGGAGGGGGAGGAGGTTTGGCTGCTCACACGTGTTAGAAAGACTGCTCAGTGACTAGAGTACAGCAGCTCTTGCCATGGGGGGAATGGTAACAATGGAAAATGAGGGTATACTAATTCATTCAATTTGTTCATTTTGCTATTTGTATATGTATCCCAAAACATCCTGTTGTATATTGTCAATGTAACTTATTAAAACTATTTTTTTTTAAATCATTAAGTACTGTCTTTGTAGGTATTGGTGTAGCAGTGAGTAAGTCTTTGATGTAATAGAGAACTAGGATTCAGACACGCACTCATGGAAGTCTGCCACATGACAGAAATGGCGATGTAGATCAGCAGGGAAAGAATGAATATGGAGAAATACCAAATTATGTATGCTTACTTTAAGACCATTCCAAAGGTAGTAAGAATTTAAATATGATTGGTTAGACTTTTGTAAAGAAATAGAGAATAATTCTATATGCAATGGGAACATATATCTTGAACAAAGGGTCCCAAGGCTTTGCAGCATCCTTGACTGCTTTCCTATGCCAAAGGCAGGAAGCTAGAAGGGAAGTGGAGCAGCTGGGATGTGAACTTGTGCCCATATGAGATCCTTGCATGTGCCACTAGGCTACCACACCAGGACTGGTCCCCTTTGTTTTTAATAGATACGTTTTCTTCTAATCTTAGGATAGGGTTCTAGTTGTTATATATTCAGCCTTTCTTTTTTTCAATTGAAATGATTTATGTGGCTGAGGTTACCTGTGCTGGTCCAGGCTGCCTGATGGGGATTCCAGCTCCATATCTATAAGCAGGGGAAGGTCCCGGGCTTGTCCAAGCTCAAGGTCTGAGAATTTACTCTGTCCACAGCAATTATGCTGGGGACACATCTTGGACAGCTTTGGCCATGCTCAGGATCATGGCTTTGCCCATTGCCACCATGTTGGTGAGCAGAGTCCAGTAAGTCTGAGCAACAGCATGGATGTCTGGACCCCCAGCCACATGGCTGTGGGGTAGGGGGGTACTTGTGTTGGTCCAATGTCCATTGGCTGACATAATTGACCTTAGAGTCTCCATTTGTCCAGAAATTTGCTGCCAAGCGTTGCTGGGGTAATTGACCAATTTGTTCTGCCCTCTTTCCTCTGCTAAGGTAGCAGATGTCCTCTGCCAACCTCAAAGGACTGTCTTATCCTCTGTGTGCATCTGGGCATGCCATCTACTGCTCTAAGACACTGAGGAGGCACAGTCTGACATGCATTCCACTGTCAGACCACAGGTCCTGCCACTCTCCCTGGGGAGTTTGGAGTTGGAGTTTTTAGTCCAGCTGGGGGGACCCTGACAGAAATCTCGTCTGAGGTGATCCTATACCTGACTCTTGGGTGTGCTTGCCAGTATGGGGTCCAGCTTGTTCTGTCACCCACATTAGCCTACACACACACACACACACACTGGTCGTTACAATTGCTAGGTCAGATCTATCTCCAGCCCTGTTTCTTATGAAAATCAATTGGTACTGCAGCCCAGCCCAACCCTGCCCACCACACTCTCAGCCGGCCTTCACACACACCATCAGGAGCAATACCACAGTCAGAGAAATGATTAAGAATGCCCATGGAGCCTGCCTTGTTCCTGTGCCTGCCAATACGAACTAGTCCAGTCTGACCCACATCCTATTTGGCTCTCATACACATCATTGGACATTATAGTATAATTCAACCCAACTGGCTCTGATCTCCAGCCCACACTCACTCCAGCAGGTGCCCCTGCATGTCTGGCCAGGCCCGCCTATACCCAGTCCTGGTTCTCATGTTCACAAGTAGGAGTTGCAGCCCATCAGAGAGGTGCCACAATTTCCAACTGGACCTGCTCCCTGCCCTGGATCTTGTACTCTCCTGGTGGATCTGCAGTCTAGCTCAACAGGACTTGTCCCCAGTCCCAGTACATGCCAGCTGATGTCATGGCAAGCCCAACCAGCCTGCTCTTATTCTGGCTCATATTCTGGCTCATGCCTGTACCAGTGGATACAGTTGGTTATGCCAGCCTGTTCCCCCCTCAACCCAGTTACATGCAGGCCAACAGGTGTTGTAGCGCTGCTAGGCCTGATTTGCCCTCTGTCTCAGCTCACACTCACTAGAAGGAGCAATGGCCTGGCAAGAAAGTCCCCACATCTCCCCTACTAGGCTGGCACCCCCTCACTTGGGTTTCAGGTGTGCTGGTGGATACTGAGGCCCAGTCTAGCAAGGCCCATCTCACCTCAGCATTTGCCAATGGATGCTGTACCTGGCCCAGCCCAGTCTGCTTGTAGCTACAACTTGTGGTGGTAGATGCTGTTGATTGGGCTGCTTTTAAGTAGGGGCTTTGAAATGGAACCGAATTTTGCTTTGTTTTCCTCTGATGGGATTTGCTGATGAAAAAAAATGATAATTTTGCCCCCATAATAAATAGAATTTAAACATAGAGTCATTTTTTTTATTTTGTTATTTGTCATAATGAAATGAAAGTCTCATAAAACCAAGATTTGCCAGGGCCAAGGAGGTGGCAGCCTGATGGCTCAGTAGCTAGATCCTCACTTTCCATGTGCTGGAATCCCAAAAGGTTGCCAGTTCATGTCCTGGCTGCTCCACATACCATCTAGCTCCCTGCTTGTGACCTGGTAAAACAGTAGAGG